TTTTTTTTTTTCGGTTCTGGTATTTCTGGTATTGTAAAGCTATTTTTTTTTTTTTTTAGTCTAACCAAATTTATTCCATTTCGATTTGTCATTGTTATCAATTAATCAAATTTCGAATTCTTTTACCGAATACGTACTAAAATTAACCATTATAATTTTTGCATTTATTTAAATTCAATTTCCAACTCCCAATTTATCATATCTTTTGATCAATCAAGGGTTCCCTTTAACGACAAATTTACGACTTATTATCAGCTCTTTGAATACGACAAAAAACAATTTTCAACGAATCTTTTTATTTCAAGACGGACTTTAAAAGAAAAAAAAAAAAAAAAAATTGAACTAGTAGTATTTTATACCGGAGAGACCCTATATATTATCAGTACCAGTTTAATTAATAATAGTTAAGAAAAAAAAAAAATTCAAGAATTACGAACATGATGTGGAATCGAATCAAAAATATGTCAGTCAGCAGCTTACCAAAATCAGATGACACAAACAAAAATAATAAAAGTAATATAATATCAAAGACTCTAAAAAAAGCTGTATCTATGGATTCGTTGCATAAAAAACCTTCAGGATACGTAAAAAAAAGAAACGTAAGCCTTGATGTAAATTTATCTTGTAGTGGAAATTGGTTTACGACGAATAATTCAAATGATCACAAGGTAACTAACCATTCTAAGTTAATCCATGTTAATTTGTTTAGTTAATTTAGTTGGTCACATGAACAAATGTCTATTATATATTAAAAATATTTTATTCTATTTCATATAAAAATAATTAGCTACCGACAAATGAGCGACAATCGTCAGATTTACACGATGAAACCTTTGTGGTTGCGTTGATCGGTAAACCATCGGTGGGAAAATCAACAATAGTTAGAACGGGTTTGAATAATTTGGCGCCAATAAGGAATGTTGGTGTGGAACAAAATATATTACATGGTAATTATATGATTTACATGTTATATAATTGTATGATATATGATTATATGAATTCTGTTGATTGTTGATTGTTGGTTCTCTTTATTTCTTATCATATTATTAGCTCCGACTCTTATAACAGAGATTGAGGTTGATGATCATGCTTATCCAGTGGAAGTTTTAGAAATTCAAGAAAGTGTTTTTGATATGAAAGCTCCATTACGATGGCCAAAGGTAATTAATTACTTTTATATATATTTATCTGCATATATTTATCTGCATATATTTATCTACATATATTTATCTACATATATTTATCTACATATATTTATCTGCATATATTTATCTACATATATTTATCTACATATATTTATCTACATATACTTATCTACATATACTTATCATGTATAATCTTTTAACACGTGTTTACACAGGAGCTTCCCGAGATCGACGGAATTTTAGTATGTTATGATGTAACTTCACGAGCGTCAATAGCAAATATAGCGTGGCTTCTAAGTATGTTTTCATCTCGCTCGCTTGCTTGCTTGCTTGCTTTATTTACTTATTCAATTCAATTACATCATCATCAATAATCATCAATTAATCAAATTAATCATCAATTACATCATCAATTACATCATTTATCGTTTAAAGATGCATTCAAAGAATTCCAAATCCCCACGATACTTGTCGCTAATAAGTCGGACTGTGATCCTACAAAACGTCAAGTAGATACTGAATATGGTGTAAAATTGGCCCCGCTATTTGATGTCGGTTTTGTGGAATTAGATACAAGATCAAATAATGGAATACAAAGAATTCATAATGTTTTTTCGATGCTTTTAAAGTTATCGATAAGGAATCGTGAATTTATTAAAGGCCGTCATAATAGTCAAGAAATTAAATCGGATGATTTATCTTCTGATTTTTTGTGTATACAAAGTATTGGTAGTGATGTGGATTCGGAAAAATTTTCAAGTCATAGGAGGACTTCTAGTGATCTAAGTCATGAATCAAGAGGGCGTGGAAGATTTTCTAATTTCTCTGCTGTTCGATATATGAAATCAAGGTATCGCAGTAAATTTGGTTCTTCTAAAGGTGAATCAAGGAAATGTAAATATTCTTTTAAATTTTAATTAAATTTAAAATATTCTAAATTAATTAATTATTTCTAAATTAATTAATTATTTCTAAATTTAATTAATTATTTCTAAATTTAATTAATTATTTCTAAATTTAATTAATTATTTCTAAATTAATTATTTATTTCTAAATTAATTAATTATTTTATTTTTTATCAACTTTTGAATTTTTCATAGCCCGTTCTCCTTTAAACAGAGTCAGTAGTGATGATGAAGGTTCATCTTCAACACGTTCAAATCATTCAAATCATTCAAATCATCGTTCATTGTCACGTTCTCCATTTTCTTCATCCCCATCTGTATCCGCAACTCCGTCAAATACTCCTCCGAAATCATCTGTCCTATCACAAGTATCACTTCCTTCGTTTCCTATAATTAGTAATAAATCCTCTCATTCCGATCGAATCTCTTATCGTCGATCTTTTCTCCCTTCGTCTACTTTATTACAAGTAATGGAAGCTGAAGAAGAAAAGGATATTGTTATCGTTAGAACTGGTCATAGTAGAACTTCATGTGGGAGTTATGATTCTACTGCTAGTTCTGTGAGTGCAATAAGTGATAATTCTTGGGAAGGTTTATTTGTTAATGATCCATTAAGTCATAACAAATGTACTGGGTATGCTTATTATTTTTTTCTATCGTCACGTGATATATGATTGTGTTTTTTATTAAAAAAAATGTTTTAATTAATAGAAGTCGTGGTGATGGATTGACTATAGATGAATTAATTCAAAGATTAACTGTTGGAGGTCAATATGGTACACACGGTAAGAAATCAATAGATAAAATCACAATAATTTGTTCATCAGAGAATTAAAAAAAAAAAAAAAAAAACAAAAATTACTAATAATAGAACGTATTATAAAAGATGTGGATGGTCATCAAAAAAATTT